TGACTCATCGAGCCACACCCTATAAACGTGGCTCGATTATGCTGTCAGCGGCCTGTAAATCAACTAAACTGGAAGTGCTTTATATCACAGTGATCATCGAGAGGGTTAGGGGTCTGAATTATTACCATCAGCCTGAGCAATAAAAACCGGCACAGGAACAAGATGGCTAGTTTTGAAATGAGTTATAGTTTGTTTGGGGTTTGGAAAGATGGAATCATGAATGGCTGCTGTAACAGAGATGGAAGACTTTGCTCAAATGAGCTGAAATTATTTAATCATAAAGCAGAGAGTTAAATCAGAATAGTGAACTAGAGAACACAGGCCTTGATGATAACTGAAGTGGGCATTTGATTCGACTCCGTTTGTCTTCTTACATAAACTTCTGTTTGTTACAGAAAAATGCATTCAGGTTTTCATCTTGGGTTCTTCCATGATGATGTAGCTCTTTAACTTTATAATATAAGTAACCTGACGTGTGTCAACAACAAATTGTGTATTATTTAATGAATCTATTGTATAATATTAAATATTTTAAATCAAACCGGGATTAAATTAAAGAGCAATGTTTTAATAAGTCCATTTCTTCTTTTTTATTTGTTTGTTTTTCCACCTCTAATGCTGTTTTTTATTATGTGTCTGCTGGTTTATTTCTCCATAATCTTTGAAAGAATACACTGATGTCACACTGGTTTTGATTATTTCTATGAATCTGTAAATTAATGTTGCATTAAAATTGTGATGTAATGGAAGTAGCAACTGATCTTTTCTTCTGTAATGCAGCGTTCATCCAAGTAAAATGGATTATCGGAAAAATTAAATATGTAGAGCGGGACTTGGTTCTATCCATTGTTTGTTGATTAGATAGATAGAGGCAAATCTGAATGTGAGCTTGTAAGAAATGGGCGTTTTTTCGCGGACTTAATGATTGGAGAAGTCTGTTGTTTCGCTATGATGACTGAGTTATAGCATCTTGATTACAAAGTTTTATTACAAAACAGTGATTTTGTCATAGATAGATGCTGATGTTGCTCACTGCGCCATGGGAGAGAGAGAGCATCTCATGCTGCCATCTGTGTCTTGATATTACTTAATATCTCATAGATATTAGGCTAAAATAAAATCAAATGGAGTTTTGTTCATGTTTGTATGTCTCTCATATAGAATATGATAAAATAGGATGTTGAAACTGGTTTATAAACAGAATATAAATTCTAGAAAGCACTCTGTGAACAGCCAGTTTCTTTGGCAATGAATGTTTGTGGCTCCTTGTGAAGGGTGTCAATGATTGTCTTGTGGACAACTGTCAGATCAGCAGTCTTCCCCATGCTTGTGTAGCCTAGTGAACCAAACTGAGAGGCCATTTTGAAGGCTCAGGAAACCTTTGCAGGTGTTTTGAGTTGATTAGCTGATTGGCATGTCACCATATTCTAATTTGTTGAGATAGTGAATTGGTGGGTTTTTGTTAAATGTGAGCCAAAATCATCACAATTAAAAGAACCAAAGACTTAAACTACTTCAGTCTGTGTGCATTGAATTTATTTAATACACGAGTTTCACAATTTGAGTTGAATTGCTGAAATAAATGAACTTTTCCACGACATTCTAATTTATTGAGATGCACCTGCACTCTATTAAACAGATAATCGAACAGAACAGGTTCTTTAAATTATAGGCTACTGTACAATGTGTTCCTTATACTATGATTGGAATTATTGACCCTGGACCACAAAACCAGTCTTAAGTCGCTGGGGTATATTTGTAGCAATAGCAAAAAAAAGCATTGTATGGGTCAAAATTATCGATTTTTCTTTTATGCCAAAAATCATTAGGATATTAAGTAAAGTTCATGTTCCATGAAGATATTTTGTAAATTTTCTACCATAAATATATCAAAACTTAATTTTTGATTAGTAACATGCTTTGCTAAGAACTTCATTTGGACAACTTTACAGGTGATTTTCTCGATATTTAGATTTTTTTTGCACCCTCAGATTCCAGATTTTCAAATAGGTGTGTCTCAGCCAGATATTGTCCTATCCTAACAAACCATACATCAATGGAAAGCTTGTTTATTCAGCTATTTTATTCAGGCTAAAATTGATCCTTATGACTGGGTTTGTGGTCCAGGGTCACATAAGATCAAATCAGCTGAACGTATGCTTTGTGGAGCTGAACAAAACATAACTAAACCAGTCATGTTGTAATCTGTCTGTTTGCTTGGTGTGTCTATATTTGCAATTTGTTTATTTATTTATTCATTTCCTTCCCATACATTCAAATCAACAATTCAATGTCTTCAGTTGACCATATATAGTTCTGCACAGTAATCTCAAATTCTAATTAATTACAGACTAATTCCACACTGATTCTTGGAATAATGTACTGCATTAATAATTCTTTTGAAGAAGGCTGATCAGAAAGACAAACACACCCTCTCCTGACACACCATCTATCCTCCGGAACTGTGAGTGGTGAACGTATAGGCTGATCTGTAAGCATCATTCACCCACATCCTTTGTATGCAATGCCACTTTATTCTGCAGCCTCTCTGTGTTTTACACCATCTCAGATCGAAATAAAACTGCATTTGTGATAATGTTTCCGCCAGATGTGTAACATGAGCAGGTTTGGAGAACAGAGAGTGTGTGCCGAAACCTAGTGAGCAAACGGTACCTGAAAATACAGCATTTTTACGCGTTCGAACGTTATACGCCTCAAAATGCGGACTAGGTAGGCAACTCGCTAGGTTTGAAGACACAGCCAGGGTGTGAGTTTTTTTTTAACACGCATTTCTGTTTGTAGTAAACATATCAGCAAGTAAATAAGCACTTAACTGAATAGACGTGTTTTTAATGAACCAGCAGACGATGAAGAATCACTTTTCGCCCTTTCATCACAGATTACAAGCCGAATGAAGTACCCTAATCAGTTTCCTCAGACAAACGCACGGCCCCGTTCCTCACAGCATTATCCGCCGCGAGACTGTCACGCGGAAACGAAAGCATTTTACCTGCTCGAGCGCTGAGAGCTCTTTCTCCAGCTGCCGGTGTTTGTTATGCCACACCAGATAATGCAGGTGGTAGCGACTCTTCTCCGGAGTTTTTCTGGCAGAAATCATCCTCGGTGCATAGTTCGCCGCTGCTCTCTCCCCCGTTCCCTTTCCCTGCTTTTGTGCGGTATCAGTTACTTTTATAAAGGGTGCGTACTATATTATTATTATTACTGAAACGACCGCTAAGGGGATTTCTCTCCCTTTTCTTATCCAGCATCGCCTTTTGCATACTAGCTTGGCATTCAGTGTGTCTGTGTTGAAGGCAATTTCAAGCTTGTGTGCATGAATGCTCTCCGTTCTGTTGTCCACTCCCCCTAGACTCTTCTCCCTCTCCTCTCTCCTCACACACTCAAACGCGCGCACGCTCGCTCGCGGAGGCTGAGGCAGGGCTCTTCGTTTCGCCGATGAAAGCGACTCAGTCACACCTATGAGCCACTGAACTTCAGTGTGTGATTCTGTCATACTGCCCACTGCGCCGTGCGCATCTCATTCTGCCATCTCTGTCTTAATATTACTTATAAATATCTAATGGACGCAGTAGCCTTTATTAACAGAACACAGTTCAGTTCTAGAATTCTGTTTTTTTTAATGGAACAGATAATAGAACAGAACAGAACATGGCGTTTGTATATTATTGTGCTGATTTTGTCACTAATATCTGTCTAATTTGTTCTTTTATCCATACCATGCTTAACTAGTAACCTTATACAATATGGCCAAATCAATTAGTACAAAACTTAAACTTCTGCTGCTCTATTAAACTGAATAAAAATAAAATGAATCAGCTATGTTCTCATCTATTTTATTTGGTCTCAATAAATACTCATTGACTCCTAAATAATCAAATGGAGATTTATTCATTTGTAGCCTATTAAATCTAGTAGGCTACTTCCACTTAGAATAGAATTGACTTGATTTATTTTCTATAGTGCTGATATTATTAATATATTTTGCAGGAAGTGATCCATCTCATCCACCCATCTAAACAGGGGACTAGACATAATATTAGCACAACTGCATGATCAAGGAGAGATGTTTTTTCATCAACTTTATCGACAATATTTTATTTTTATTGGAATTTTTTATTGGAATTTCTTTAGAACATTCAGCCCATTCTTCATACACTTACAGGGAAAACAAACATACAGTGTATTTCAAAGGGGTTTCCAGAAAAAAAATATGCACATGTATTTAGGAATAGTTCACCTAAAAATGAAAATTGTGATGTTTTTATCAGCTGTTTGAACTGTCATTCTGACAGCACCCATTCTCTGAAAACGATCCATTGGTGAGCCAGCATGAAGGAACAAACTCATCCACATCTTGCAAATTTCACTGGATTATGGGGACATATTTAGAGAAGAAGCAATGGTTTAAATGCCTTAATGATGGATTTATTTCTTACAAACAATCAGCTTTTCACTTCACAAGACATCAATTGATGCATTGGAGTCACATTTATTACTTGTGGATTATTGTGATGTTTTTATCGGCTGTCTGGACTCTCATTCTGACGGCACGCATTCACTGCAAAGATCCATTGGTAAGCAATTGATATAGGCTAATGCAAAAGTTCTTCAAATCTGTGCCAATGAAGAAACAAACTCATCTACATCTTGGATGGCCTGAGGGTGAGTACATTTTCATTTTTGGCTGAACCATTCCTTTGATGCGTTTAGAATAGAATAGAATAGAATAGAATGTGGAGGACCAGTATTAAAATATATTACAGAATAGGTTTTTTTTTTAGAAAGATCCTATTTAACTTACTGAATAAAAATGTACAAAAACATTGCTTTTTCTATTATACTTAATTTGGGGATTGCAGATATGTAAATAATCTTATGTAAAATTAATCTCCACTGGTGGGCATGACTTCATGGTCCCTCTGCTCTGTCTGCCCCCGCCTGTAACGACGGTGGGGCGAGAGACAGACGTCAGAGAGAGGGAGACTATGCAGCCCGCCATACAGAAGTGTATAGGGCAGTAGATGTAAATAAACCGTGTACTGTATCCATACTTTTCTTATTCCCACCCCCTTTTGCCCGAGACAGAGACGGGGCTTGGATGATCGGGGGAAAATATTAGTGGGGACATTCAAAATTAAATAATCTGATAACGTAAGGGGCCTTCTAAAATCGGATTCATTTTAAGGAATCGTAAAGACCTCGTAGCGGTAAGACAGAAGACACCGCAGGGAAAAAAGGAAGGCGAGAGCGAAGGGTGAGGACCGGGAGTGTTGGGGAGCTCGTCGCCGGCTTCCGGACATTCGGGGCGGCATTGAAATCGCAGACGTCGCTCCTGGGGGAAAGCAAGCCAAATATCTTTAGTATTGGACTAAAATCCCTGGAAGCGGTAGATTTTGTTTCAGCGATGTCCAGGAAAGTCCAAAGAAGCGAAGTTTGCGCCGACTGCAGTGCACCAGGTAGGGCTGAGATTTATGGATCGAGGCGTTGTTGTGAGCCATGACTGTCCGAGACTCGCTCGAGCTTGGCGGCAAGCGGGTGAACACCAAGCCCGCGAATGCACAGGGACACTCGGTTAAACGCGTCAGGAAAATGCCCGAAAATTAAGGCCCATACGGCGGCCCAACAAGTCAGCTCATTCAGAACCACTCTAAATTAAAGACTGAATCAATATGTGGGTTATAATACGACAGAACAGTAGGTGTTCATAAACTACATCCTTTACTAAACTTCTGTGACTATAAATTTGAGGTGTTATTGCAGCTTTTCTACCGTAGCTAAAGTTTTAGCCGATGCTTGTTGTTAGCATCTATCCTTAGCTTATTGACGATAGAGGTGCTGTTAATTAAAAGCACTATATTTATACTATACGCGGGACCTTTTATATGCGCATTTTGTAGCGAGAGAAAATTGTTGATTAAAAGTAAGTTTTAGTTCATATTGAGCACAAAACAGGCTCTGTATCGAACAATGCTAACTGACAGTAAGCTAGACTCGGTTGCTAAGTAGCCTGCGAACTGTCTTGTGACTGCCTTGCCAGTATTTGAGTAAAACATATTTCTGTGTTTAAAATCTGTAAATGCATTATAGCTACGAGGAGCACTAGTTCAGTTTGTCCAGTACTGTTTCAAATCTAGTTAACTTGGGCTGAGGCGAGTTAGCTTAACTAGCGTCAGCAGGTTGACAGGACACATCACACTGATGTGGGTCAGACTTTGCTCGTGTTTTTGTGCACCACTTTGTTTCTAGATAGCGTTATCGTGGGTAGATATTGTTTAGTGGCACATTTCCTGAATGTGTATTTGTTCATTAATTTGTTTTGTTAATTACTTGTACGATATGTTGTTTCAAAGTGTAGTATGTTTACATAATAAAACAGGGATATTTCTGTACGCTATTGCATAATTATGAAAGTGAATTCATTTGTTGTTATTCTTTATTGTTCTTAAAGTGGGCTCGCATAACTGAAACATTACATTTCATTGCTGGAAAAAAAAAATGTTGAAACCAGCCTAAACTGGTTTTCTAGTCTTAGCTGTTTTAAGCTGGTCTCCCAGTCTGGACAAGCTGTTGTGTAGCTGATCTTCAAGCTGGTCTCTCAGCATGACCAACTGAAAAGTTCCCAAAACCCCTCTAAAACAAGCCAAAATACCAGTGTGACCAGGCTGGGACACAGCTAAAAACCTTAAACCAGCTTTATGCTGGTTTAAGCTGTTTTTAGCACAGTTGGCCTTCATAAAATGATCAGTACAGTATTTCTGCAATGATTATGAGCAATGGCAGAATCACAGAAATTATATATTGGTTTATTTCTGATATATTTTGGTGAAGGTTACTACATAGTTGAGTAGGTTATAGTTTTGAGTTATATCCATTTTTAGTCCCATCACGCCCTTGGACAAGGCACAATTTCCTAAATGCTACAGGGAAAAAAGATGGAGGTTGGCATTGCATTTATATTTTAAATAAAGAGGAACTTCCTATGTTTGACTGGCTTTTCTTAGCCGTTTGTCCCAAAAAGCAGTGCTCAATACGTTTACAAGCAAGTTAGGACATAATAAAGCCTTCAGTTGTTTACGAAACATATTTTTGATGCCGCTCAGCTGTGCCGTCACTACAAGCCCACCCTTGGCCTTGCTCATTTTGCCTCACCGTCCCCATGGGGGAGAATGAGGGGTGGTACGGGGGGCATGACAGCTGCTCCCTCATGCACAGCTGCTCTCTCTCCAGGACTGAACGTGTATGTGGGAGAGCATCTCATTTTTGACAGTTTAGTTCTGTTTCACCTCCTCAGCTACCTGCGGTCATGCTCAAAGTTCGGCCGCCAGCACTGTCACCGGTGCCCCTGGCTGACGACTCCACATCTGAGGGCTTGGGTGTCTTTTTTTTATCCTTACACACTCGGCGTCCTTGTGTTGGCCTGTCCTGCAGTGCTAATAGAGCTTGTCATTTTCGTGTTTGACTTGTTTTAGGAATGTAGATAATGGTGTGTCTGTCAAAAGGTGAGGAACTGATGACTGAGAGAGGAGGAGGAGGCGGGCAGACAGACGGATGCATTCTAATAAATGTATTATGGGTATGAAGGAACGTATGGAAGATTGTCAATTGCATGGCCACTGAGGGCTGAATGGCGCCGCATGTGTGAGCATTAGAGTGTGTACACTTGAAATTTCATTACGAGCAGAGAGAATCTCTCGTTTGAGATGTTAATGGTTTCAAGCACTTATAGGAAGGATGAACGTGTTCGTTAAGAAGTATGGCATCATCTTTGATTTTCCCATACGCAGGTGCTCAGCTCCATATCTGTGAACGTCTGGCCATCTTTACACAGATAAAGGGATGATGCAGTATTATTTACAATTAAGGCAATAATTCTAAAGTTCTTAACCACCACATACAAGATTCAAACTGTTGGCTACAATATGAACATTTGGCGGATTAAAATAAGCCATGTCTTTTTCTAAAATAAGGAAACAAGCAGGCCTTTTACTTAAAGTAAAATATGTAAGTATGACAATATGTAAGAATTTTTTATTAAAATATCCAAAAACCACTACAACAGTGTTATATATTTTGCTGACTTATGTACTTGCATTATCCCAAATGTTTCGAAGAATGTTTAAATCCAGAGAAATAAGCAATGTTAACTAGTGGCATGGACCGTGTCCATAGTGTCATTGTGTTGCCTGCCAATGATGTCATAACCCCTCGATTTCCGGTTTTGTTTTGTAGAAAACATGGAAACACCAAAGATGCTTTAATATGTTGTGCGTTTTAATAGACCGGTGACGACCGCACAGAGTAGCATAATGACAGAACTTTCAAATGTATCTAGTATGATAAAACAGCGCTGCTTTTTTTCCCCCACATACGCATGATCGGAAAGAGTGGAAGCGGTCGACTGTGGCATAATAAAAGCTCCGCTGCTTTCGAGCCGTGTGTCACGCTCGCTCAGCGGCCTCGTTTCGCTTCGACGGCTTTCAGCCTCACCCTGCTTCATTCTACTACGTTAATAAATCATTAGCTCATCCATGAACATGATTTCTGCCCGAGTCCTGTCGGATTGTATCGGCTGTGGGGATGAAGACAACAACTCCCATGATTCCACACTCAGTCACGGCCTCATCAAACTAGCCTTTGTCTATTTGTTTATTTGTTTATTTTGAATAAGCGCCCTCCAGTGGCGAAAATTACATATTGTGCTTTTAACATTAATTTAGGCTTTTTTATAACCTTGAATGGCTCCTTGTTATATTACTTTAATTAAAAGAAAATATGATCAAATCATCTTTAAAAATCTGTTTATATTTTTTTTCTGAATTGAATGAATGTGGGAGTAAAATTAACGCTTATTTTACACAATGATTTGGTGTATGTTTCATTTTCTGTGTTTTATATATTATTTTTATATACTTTTGGATACTATATCTTTCAAAAGTTTGGGGTCAGTAATTTTTTTAGAAATTAAAACCTTTATTCAGCAAGGAAGGATGCATTAAATTGAACGAAAGTGACAGTAAAGACATTTATAATGTTACAAACGATTACAGAATTCTGTCTTTTTGAACTTTCTGTTCATCAAGTGCCGAATCAAAATGTATCACAGTTTCCACAAAAATTTTACACAGCACAACTGTTTTCAAAATTGATGATAATAAGAAATGTTTCTTGAGTACCAAATCAGCATGTGATTCCTGAAGGATCACTGACCCTAAACATTGAAGTAATGGCTGCTGAAAATTCAGCTTTGCCATTACAGGAATAAATAAATTACTATTTAAAATATATTAAAATAGAAAACATTTGATTTAAATTGTAATATTGTTTGTTTCGTCATATTGTGGTTTTTAATATAAAAAAATAATCAGTATAATAAAAAAATAAGGCATCCACCATTTTTAGGTGTTGTATTGTGTTTGCGTTCATACGGGAAATCAATAATCATGTTATGACACTGTTTACATCAGTGCAGCGTAATCTCCCTCTCGCTCTAATCGTATCAAAACCCTGCTTAGTGAGATTCTGTGGATGAGATTATGTGCTTGAAGTATTGTGGGTGCTGGTTTAATTTGAGCCAGATCCTGGGGGCCTGTGGAAGCCAGAGGCACACTTCTGTCACATTGAGACTTAGTCATTTTTCTGTTTACCTGAATATCACCTTGATCCTCCTGACTACACTTGTACCCTGCCTGATATGAGGAGAGCTCTTTGCCTCAGATGAGCTCATTCAGAGCAGTGTAGTATGATGTGGTGTATGGTGTGTGTGTGTGGTGTAAAAATTATACACATTTCATTTTTTGTAGCATGTTTGTATGTGTCAGAAATAAATATTTATGTCAGTTTTATTACATTTAATTATACAGCTATTATTTAATAAATGACTGCTATAAATGAACTTTTGCTGGCCAAATAATGTCATTTGTTTAACATTTTTAACCATTCTGATGCTTCCAACACTAAGACAAATCATTCTCACAATTTCCACAACCTCATCTGTGTTATCCAGCTACACTTTACTTCGGTGACATTTTATATCAGCAGAATTGATTACAACAGTGTTCAATATAGCACCGAAAACCAAATTAAGTTTATATAAGATAAGATGTAGGAGTAGGTCTAGGATTGTAATAAAAAGTTTTTGTGATCAGTCTAAACCAAAGCAGTCTGTCGTTCCACTTCCTGTCCTTATGTGCTGTTTTGCTTATTAGAAAAATCAACCCTCAATTGATGTTAGAATAAAAGCTTGTTTCCGCCACAAGATACAGAAATAAAAAAGGTAATTGCGACTTTTTATCTCACAATTCTGAATTTTGAGATAAAAGTCAAAATTGTGAGATAAAATCACAATGACCTTTAAAAAAAACGTTTATCCTACCATAGTCTTTAGCTTATTCTCTCTGATGAAATGTGCAATGTCATGTATGTTAAGATCCGGGCTGGAGCAGTATAAACCGAGGAGTTCTGATCTGCGATGAGTGCTGTTCTGTGCACCGGAGCCTGGGCCGTCACATTTCCATCGTCAAACACCTGCGACACAGCGGCTGGCCTCCTTCCTTACTGCAGGTAACTAAAGAGCCTCTCACACACATATTTGTCATTTTCCTCAGGATCATAGCCTAATACATACATGTGTGCCTCTCAGATGGTGCAGACCCTGGCCAGTAATGGAGCAAACTCGATCTGGGAACACTCTTTGCTGGATCCAGCACAAGTTCAGAGTGGGCGCAGGAAACCGAACCCACAAGATAAAGTCCAGTAAGCCATCTCATAAACCATTCATGCATCATATACCAGAATGTCATAAAAACAGAAGACTGGGGGTATAATTCTTGTTTTATTGGTCTGTGCTGTATGTAATTGTTCTCATGGAGCTCCATGGAATAGCAGACCACTGAGACAAGACTAACAAATCTGCTCACTCAAAATAAGTAAAATACGGAGTAATTAAAAAGTAATTTGTCAGAGCAGTGGTTCGTCCAGTCTCATTCACGAATTATAAGCTCATGCAGGTGAAGAAAGTTTGAGGAATTTCCTGTGCCACCTTCATTGCACCTGTAATAAAAAGGCAAATATCCATGAATATATGTATTTAAATGCCTAATTACTTTATTAATATTCTTCTAAGCAGTTGTACAATGTTACCTGACACCCAAGAGACATTATAATCTGGGTCCAAAATTAACTGTCTGCCACACCTGCCAGTGGTGAGTGAATTTAGAAAATCAACGTTCTAAATCTCTTTGAAATTATGTATAGTATATATTTAAACACACATATATGCATATATATATATATATATATATACACATTTAAATGTATATGTATTTGTGTGTGTATATTGAAATATTTTCCTAGTTTTTTCCCAAAAAATATCAAACATAAATTCATACACTTTCAAGACTATAAGAGATTCTGTGTAAGGGGGTCTGAATACTTTCCGTACCCACTGTATATATATACACACAAACACATACACTCACAAATGTTAAACTATTCATATTTTATAACAAATGTTTCATATATTTCACTTTAATGAAAAGTACATATGCTATATACTTTCCTTTGTATTATTATTATTTTTTACACTTAAATTTTAATATTTGTTCTCTTTGTATTTCTAACATACAGCAGACAAATAACTACTATTTTTCCATTTTCCTATGCATGTTGTATGAAAACAGTTACAGTCCCTATTTATTTAGAGAAAGTCTAAAAACTTTAGGAACCTAGAGCATCAAGCGTGTCACTTACATCCCAGAAGGAGCCATTGTTTTAAATAAACAGTCGTGACTGAATCGATGCCAGCAGGACTATTGACGAGGCATCCTATTTTATATTGATTCATTGATTTTGAAATTGATCTCCATTCGTTTCTGTGTTCGTATCTTTCACCCCACAGCCCCACTAAGTCAGAGTTCATTCGTGCCAAGTACCAGATGTTAGCCTTCGTCCACAAGCTGCCCTGCCGTGATGATGATGGGGTTACTACGAAGGACCTCAGCAAGGTTTGACCTCCCAAAGGCATCACCTCTGACTCTTTATCTCAGTCTCTTCCCTCTCACTCTCATTCCATCTTTCCTCCTCGGCCTCTCTCTGCTCCCCACTGTCTGTGCCCTTGCAGGAGGGCCCTTAAAATGACACCCCGCTAGTGAATAAATGTGCCTTCCTCAGTGCTATTGAATGGCCCTAATGAGAGGATGCGCAGGAGATCTGCTCTTTTTCTGTGTCTTTCATGCTGGGTCCCTATCTTTTTCTCTCTAACAACCTCTCGCTTATTCACTTGTTCTTGCCTGCAGCAACTCCACTCAAGTGTGCGGACAGGAAGTCTGGAGACGTGTTTACGGCTGCTGTCACTGGGGGCACAAGCCAACTTCTTTCACCCGGTAAGATCTGCCATCTCTCACAGTTCTGTCTTTGTTCTGTCAGGTTTTCTACATCATAACTAAGGCCCGTCCACACGGAGACGCGTTTAGCTGTATACGCAAAAAATTTGTATGGTTTCGTCCAGACGGATCCGGTGTTTTTTTTTTTTTTAACTGGGTCCCAGAGTGGATAAAAACGAAAACGACAGCCTTGCGTTTTCGTGTGTACAGCCAATCTGTATATTTTGTGAAACGATGATGTCATCACCCCACGTCACTATGGCCCCTAGTCAGACACCGCTACGTCACGTAACAGCAACAACAACATGAACAAACACTGAACGATTGTCTTTCTATTAACTAATATTAACACAGATTAATAAATGTATTGTTCCATGTTTGTTTGTATACCGCGTGCAAGGTTTATGTGCATAGTCCAAGTCTTCTCTGTTTTTAGTGTATCTCTGTGGCAGAATTACAGTGCCACATACTGGTCTGGCATGTATGTTGACAAATCTGATCCAAAGCACGAATACTTTCCAAAACCAAAATATTTCTAGTTTCATGTTCTTTCTTGCCTCTAATGTTATTACTGTGGCAAACAATATAGATTGTCTGAAAAAAACAGATCTGATTTCATTACTTGCATAACGACGTTCCAAAATTTGAAAAGAGCACAGTGAACAGCGCCTGTCACATGCCTGATGTTCCCTCCACAGGAAAAGGGCACGACCCCTCTACATGTGGCCGCCAAAGCGGGGCAGGTTCTGCAGGCCGAACTGCTAGTGGTGTACGGGGCGGACCCAGGAGCTCCAGATATCAATGGCCGCACACCTATAGACTATGCCCGGTAAATACAAAATGCAGAAGTCACTAGACCCTCGGCACTGATCTATCTATCTATCTATCCATCCATCTATATCATATCTATCCATCCATCCATCCATCCATCTATATCATGTCTATCTATCGATCTAGCCATCTATCCATCTATCCATCTATCTATCTCTGTCCATCTATCCATCTGTATCATATCTATCCATCTATCTGTCCATCTATCCATCTGTATCATATCTAACGATCTATCTATCCATCCATATCACATCCATCCATCCATCCATAAATATCTATCCATCTATATCATACCATATCATAGCCATCTATTCATCTATATCATATCATGTCTGTCTGTCTGTCTAATGTTCTACCTCTCTGTATGCCATTTTATTTCTCTGTCTGTCAGTTGTTATCTTGTTCTATCTGCTGTCCTGTCGTTCTTTCTGTCGTTTTATAGTTCTGTCGGTCTGACGTTCTTCCACTCCATTTGTCTAGCTAATGTTTTTGAAAGGATCTAGTGTCTTTGGTTTGTAATGTGACTTTGCTCTTGCAGGCAAGCAGGTCACGTGGAGCTTGCCGAGCGCTTGGTAGAGTGTCAGTATGAGCTTACAGACAGGCTAGCCTTCTATCTTTGTGGACGTCGCCCAGGTGAGCTCAGAGTACCTGTTTTATAGTATTTCCTTGAATAATGGCCATAATGCATATTGTGCTGCCTTATAGATGTTTAAATTGCAAAGAGTGTTGATTAACAGGTTTTCTGCAGAGTTCAGTGCGCTTTCAACACAAAAATAGACTCGGCGCTGAAACTCTTATTACACCAAAGCTTCTGCTGTGCGGCTTACACAGGCAGTGTGAAAACTGTAACCTGTTAATTTGGGCATCAAAATAAATATGTCCTGGATGTGTGTGTGTGGTGTGAAACAGACCAATCTGTCCGCCCAATTGAGGATGAACACTTTTAACATAGTTTTTCTTGTGTCTGTTTTTGCAGATCACAAGAACGGTCATTATATCATCCCTCAGATGGCAGACAGGTACATTGTTTGTGTATGAGAGTGTTTTTGCATTTGTTTGATTCATAATAGAAAAAACATTGTGTACAATTATTGAAGCTCATCAGTGCAGTTTTATTTATTACTGTCATGATATCCTCTCTCAAATCTTTTCCGTATCGCTGCCTATAAAGGGTAGATACAGTGTACAAAGATCAATTAGCAGCGGGTGTATTTGTGTGTGCTGGCCAGCAGGTTGCGCCACACGGTCAATCAGTTTGCATTAGAGCAGAGTGTCCTCAACCTCTGTAGCGCTGACTACCTCAAATGCACCACAGCTGAATGACCTTTACTGACCTGTCCAGAAGGAGTGTTGATATGGGGTCTATCCCTTTTCTTTCTCTCTCTATCTATCTTCTGCTCACTTTTCGGTCTCGCTCGCTCACTCGTTCTCTGTTTTCTCCATCTTGCTGCGCTTTTGGAGGCAGAGCTCGCCCTAAGTGCCCGACGCAGAGGTATCTCTTTCTCTCTCTTCTCACCCCCCTCTCCATAAACCCTGCTCTCTTTCTTTCTCACATGCCTTCATCTGGGTGTGGGTGACTGGAGTGATGAGGCAGGATCAAAATTCGGTCAGAATTAAATTAATTTAAAAAAACACTCCTGTTCCGCCTCATCTTTTCTGGCTGTCCCATCCCTTACACCACACTTCATCCATCCATTCATCCACCTCTCTTTTTTCCTCTCTCCTCATCTTTCTCTGTCCGCATGCCTCCAGCATCCTTTTATTCTTGTGTCTGTCTTTGTCTTTGCGTAGCCTGGACCTCTCTGAACTGGCCAAGGCAGCCAAGAAGAAGCTTCAAGCGGTGAGTGATGCAGGTTACTGAGCTGCTACAGAGAATTATGGGAATTTGAGTTTTTAGACGGGCACAACTGAAAGCAACAAGTGATAAAAGCTTTTCCATGTAAATTCCAAAGTGTATTTCAGTTTGATTTGAATTGTATGTGTCTCCTAACCCCCTGACACAAGTGCTTGTCAACACGGCTGTCTTGTTTTTCTGTATGTTTCTTTTTCAACTGTAAAACCACTGGCCGCCGGTCAGTGTTGCCACTTATGCTGATGATGAAGTTTACATGACATGCACTGTAGACATACCCCTAGCATAACGAAATATACTTTGAGCTTAAAGGGATAGTTCACCCAAAAATGAAAATTCTGTCATTAAAAATTTGTGTCATTGCAAACCCGAAATACCTTCATTCATCAGCACAAATTAAGATATTTTCGATGAAATCCAAGAGCTTTTTCACCCTGCATAGACAACAATGCAACTGAAACGTTCCCAGGCCCAGAAAGGTAGTAAGGGCATTGTGAAAATAGTCCATGTGACATCAGTGATTCAACTGTAATTTTACAAAGCTACGAGAATATTTTTTTTTTGTGCAAAGAAAACAAAAATAATGACTTTATTCAACCATTCTTCTTTTCCTTGTGACCGTCCGCTGCCATTCATGAGAGTAAAATTTCAAAAACTTTTCTGGTCCTGGGAATGTTTTATTTGTATTGCTGTCTATGCAGGGTCAGAAAGCTCTCGGATTTCATCAAAAATAACTTAATTTGTGTTCTGAAGTTGAACGAATTTTAATTTTTTGGTGAACTATCCCTATAAAGTCCAAAGTCTGTCAAACGGAAGTTTTGACTGAAATTACTTATTGTGACATATTTCAGAGTAAAATGGAATACTGAATAATTAATTCGGGGGTAACCAAACTTGATCCTGGAGGGCCGGTGTCCTGCAGAGTTTAGCTGCAACTTGTGTCAACACACCTGCCTGGAAGTTTCAAGTATACCTAGTAAGACCTTGATCAGCTGGTTCAGGTGTGTTTAATTAGGGTTGGAGCTAAACTCTGCAGGACACCAGCCCTCCAGGACTGAGTCTGGCCACCCCTGGATTAATTATTCACCACAAGACTAGTGATGTGCACTAACAAAGTAAATAGGGTCGTTGATTTCATGTGGACTTTAATTCCAAGTTTCTGCCTTAACCAGCTCTGCCAAGTAAACAGGACATTTTATTGGTCATTTGGTTTTTATTCCTATATTATTGCACTGTGAAGCTCCGCCCACCTTAAAATCTCATTGGTCCAAAATTTTGTTCCACATAAATATAAAACATTCTTATTGACTATGATTGTGTTGTATCACAATGTTATAGAATTCAGTGTGGCCATATGAATTACTTGCCACAGGAATCCTGGTTAGGCTCTTTGAGAGATTTTAGAGGAATATGGTTGATAAATTCTTCAAATGCTTAGAAATTCAGTAGATAAATTTAGCAGTTGCTTTGAATTCCCTTAGCTTGCATTTGATCTTTATTTAGTGCCTTGTTAGAGCATGTTGCTTTGTTTTGTCTTCTCACTGATGTCTTCCTGTTGTGTGTGTGCTCAGTTTTTGTTTTTTTCCCTCCATGTCTGAATTTGAATACCACATACTGATGTGTGTGTGTGGATGCAGTTAAATAACCGTTTGTTCGAGGAGCTGGCTATGGATGTGTACGATGAAGTGGACCGTAGAGAGAACGATGCAGGTAAGACTCAAACCCCCATCTGTTCCTGTCCCAACTTTCCCTGCTTCTCACTCTTTCCCTAAAGTAGTTGTGGAGCGTTCCGGAGGCAAGGGGACAGTTGTATCCGTGTCCCTGGAGACGCAGTTATCGGTGTGTTGTATAAACACTGGCTATAGAAGGACTTCAGCAGTGCATTCAGCTTGTAGAGAAGGGAGGGAGAGAGACGCCAAATGGAAAGGAGGGTGAAAGGGAGCGAGAGCGAGGGAGTGCCGCAGGAATTCTCTCCTCCTCCTCTCTCTCTCGCTCTCTCTCTCTACTCCCGTTCCTGGTTGTTGAGGAGAAGAGGTAGCATGCTGGGGTGGCAGACTGGGATTCTGATGGTAAGCAGGGCTGCGAGCGAGGCAGGGGGCCAAACGCACACATAAACACAAACTGAACGGGAGGGGTAGATCCGAACTCTCTGAAACCTCAGAGCTAGGACATCGGAGTCTGTTTGTTTATATTTGTCTTGTTTATATGTGTCCATTCTGTTTCTCCCAGTGTGGCTGACAACTCAGAACCACAGTACACTTGTGACTGAACGGAGCGCCGTCCCCTTCTTACCCGTCAACCCTGAATACTCAGCGACACGCAACCAGGTAACGCACAGCATTTTAGAGGATGTGTTTGAAGTATGTTTGAGAGGAGGTTTTCCGCTCCTGCTGCCCCCTTGCGTAAGTGCCTGTCAATTCCATGCTGGCCCGTTTTTGATGGAGGCACAAAGGAGAGATGATATCTGGGGTGCAGACGACATGGGGCTAAAAATAGACATTTTGTGATTGTGCAAACATCTGAGGCTCAGGTTTGGGCGGCAAACCAACAAATGGATGTTTTCCAGCTGCGTAACTGCTGCAGACACGCAGCGGCTCCCTCCCCCTCAGCGTTTCCACTGGCATCCTCGCATGACCCTCTCTGTACCACTGCTTGAAATAGTTCTTTTATACAGCGAGACCACTAAGTGCGTTTACTCAAGGGTACGTTTCCTGCGGGCTGATTGGCCAGGCTGAGAATTTCCTGTTCTATTGCGTATACATGAGGATTTGAGACATGGAACGAGATGATGGGAGGAGGCACACGCACACCCAGTGGTCAAGAGTTGGAACACTGAACTGTTGATGTGGCAGTGTTTTCCAGTATTTAACATGTCCAAGTCGCCCTCTACCAGAATGGACAGTTCTGTAATACCATACGTATTGCTGAGCGACTAAGTGCTTAAATAAAACTTAGTTTAGGAAAAATTAACAAATTTGAAACCTGCAGAGCTCTACGGAAAAGCTCTCCTGTAAAAAGATTTCCTGTACAGAAATCATTCATAAAAATCTACACGTCCACCACATCTTTCATGTTTATGAATAGGCTAATTTTAAATATTTTCTGTTACTAAAAAGTGTGTAGTACTCTTTAGTCTAGTACACATTTTACAAAGTTTTAATCTATTCTTCAGAATTTCACAGATTTTGCCCAAATGTCTGTGCAAAAATGTGGCATTCAGAAGATTTAATATGGGTCTGTATTCTTTTTTTTTAAACATATTAATGATTTATGCTATCATTAAAAAAATTGGGGATTGGTACATTTATTTAATGTAAAGTGCCCATCAAGGCCGAATTTATTTGATCACAGTAAAATCAGTAATATTGTAGAATATTAAAATAACTGTTTTCTATTGGAATGTATTTTAAAATATAATTTTTAATATTTTATTTTAATATTACTTTTAATATTTTAAGTTGCAATTTATTCCAACTTGGCAAAGTTGAAGTTTCAGCAACCAGTCTTCAGTGTCGTATGACCCTTCAGAAATCATTCAAATATGCTGATTTAGTGCCCAAGAAACATTTCTTCCTATTATTAATGTTAAAAAAGGGGTATGATATGCTGTAATGTAAAAATAGAAAGTTCAAAAGAACAGCATTTATCATATAAAAAGATTTTTTATAACAATGTAAAACATGTTACTGTCAATTTTGATCAATTTAATTGATCCTTTTTATATGAATAATATTATGTATAAATAAGCATAAGTATTTATGTACATATATATATATATATATATATATATATATAATTTAATTTTTTTGTCATTTCTAGGGGCGGCAGAAATTGGCTCGCTTTAACGCACGAGAATTTGCCACCCTTATTATCGACATTCTCAGTGATGCCAAGCGACGGCAGCATGGAAAGGGCTTGACAAGCCCCACAGGTGAGACGCCGACATTGCAGTTCTCTAACTTTGAGATTTTAGGGGAACATCAATAACACAGCTTCAGTCCTAATTTTGTCTCGCATAGTTGAGGTATACCTATGATGAAAATTACAGGCCTCTCTCATCTTTTTAAGTGGGAGAACTTGCACAATTGGTGGCTGACTAAATACTTTTTTTCCCCACTGTAGCTAAGCCAGTGTAGTTTCTCACTCTCTCAGTGGCTCCTCATATTAATGATGTTATCTTTTGTTTTTGTGGTTATTGTTTTTCAGACCCGCTGGATCTGAGTCAGGAGGATGATGACCAACATGATTATGACAGCGTAGCGTCTGATGAAGACACAGACAGTGAGCTAACTGCACAGAATAACAACAACACCCAGCGCAATAACCGGGCCAAGGTGAGCTCATCAAACCCTTACCCGCTTACTGTGTGTTTACCTGAGGAAAAGATTGAAAGTTGAAGATTTGTGTTCATCCATCTAGATGTCCATCGTTCTTAATAATGAATCTACTTAAGTTGAGGAGCATCTTAAAACCTTTGGAGAAACAAGCTCAGATAAGATTTTAAATGTCTTGTACTGTAGGTTAGGCCTTGGTAAATGTTGATCTTGGTTTTGCCAGACCAGCAAATTAGTATTTTCAGTAATACAGAATCCAGTGTTGTCATGTCCCAGCATGCACCGCTGGAAGAGCAGCAGAAGCAGCAGCCCTGCCTCATATTTGCAGAATGACATCATCCCCGTTTTCAAGGCTGCGATCAGTGAAGCTATTGTTCTGCAGCTGAAGACAGGATGCTGTGTCTGAGCATGCTCAGTCCACAAACAGGAAGTGACATGGCTGAGTGTAGGAGAGCACAAAGTAAACCCCATTGAGGAATGTGGGGTTTAAAACCTTCTCCAGTAGCACTACTGTTGGTTATATTGTACGGTTATTCATTTTTATCTTAAAATAGCTACTTTTTGTGGTTTTTGTATGAAAATATAATTTTATGTTATCTATTCAATATGCTTTATAATAATGTTATGTAAAATCTCCATATTAATGGTAGGTTTATATATATATGCATATAGGCATCAGTGATACCTAAAATCATCACTTGTGCTGTTAGTTTTCTAAGAGATTGAACATAATGTTTTTGCATGTGAAATGATAAACGGGCAAAAAAAAAACTTTGATATTTGAGGATATATTATAGATTTGAAGTGGGATCTTTTGACTTATATTTAAACTACTGTTCAAAAGTTTTTGAGTTTTTTTTTAAAGAAGTCAAAAGAATTCAGTAATGTGAAATAATATTACAGTTTAAAATAACTGTTTTCCATTTTAATATATTTTAATGTAATTTTTTCTGTTATGGCAAACTGAATTTTTAGCAACCATTACTCCAGTCTTGATGAAAAGAAAGTTTAAAAGAGCAGCATTTATTTAAAATAGTTTTTCTGTTACATGTCAAAGTTTTTACTGTCATTTTGATATATTTAATTCATACTTGCTGAATAAAAATATTAATTTCTTTCAAAAAAAAAAAAAAAATCTTCCTGACCCCAAACTTTTGAACAGTAGCGTAAATACTACAATAAATTAAAGAAATTTGTAATTGTGCATATCGTTTAGGAAAAAAGCTCTCTCTTCAAACCTGTTACCCTTTACTGTTTGTTCATTAACAGTGTATTGTGATTTGCTGAAAAAAAATATTAATTTCTTTAAAAAAAAAAAAAAAAATCTTCCTGACCCCAAACTTTTGAACAGTAGCGTAAATACTACAATAAATTAAAGAAATTTGTAATTGTGCATATCGTTTAGGAAAAAAGCTCTCTCTTCAAACCTGTTACCCTTTACTGTTTGTTCATTAACAGTGTATTGTGATTTGATTGGTGGTTTGTGTTGTGTTAATCAGAGCATGGACTCGTCGGACCTGTCAGATGGGCCCATCACACTACAGGAGTATCTGGAGGTGAAGAAAGCACTGGCCTCCTCAGAGGCCAAAGTTCAGCAGCTCATGAAGGTCAACAACAACCTGAGTGAAGAGCTGCGGAGGCTTCAGAAGGAGGTATGCCCACCCACTGGATTAAAACTGTGCCTTTGTTTTAAAATGATTACAATTTCACACAGATAGAAATGAAATGCTGTCGTAAACTACAGCTCACCATTACACATACTGATCCCAAACCATCGAACAGAGCAGAACAGTATTATTATACACTACTGCTCAAATGTTTGGGGTCAGTAATATTTTTAAAAAGAATTCTCTTATGCTCATCAAGGCTGCATTCATTTGATCAAAAATACAGTAAAACTATAAAAAACAAATATGGTCAAATATTATTACAATGTAAAATAACTGTTTTGTGTTTGAATATATTTACATTTATTTCTGTAATGACAAAAGGAAATTTTCAGCAGTTACTAAATGTATTCATTACTTAAAAAAATTACTGACCCCATACTTAAAAAAAAAAATTTAGATATCTTATACCATGCTCTTCCCACTGAGAATGAAGCCCCTCCTTGTTCAGAAAAACTTAAACTTCCTGTCCATCAGAACAACCCCATTTTATCAGCCCCGGCATGACTTAACCGTCCACACTGCAACTGTTGTGTTTTCTTTGGTCCTTGTGTTTGTGTATGTGTGTGTGTGACTCCCGGTGATGCCCCTCCATCCCTGTAGATCACGCGGATGCAGACGGAGAACCGCACGCTGCGGGGGGCCCAGGCTGGGGCCAGGGGCTCTCTGACCGGGGGTGGTGGCTCAGGGCTGTGGCCTGGTGGGGTAAGGGGTACGGGCGGAGGGGTAGGTGGAGACTCCAGCCTAAACACACCCTCGTCTGCCCCCCTCCGCCGGGATAGACAAGCCTTCTCTATGTATGAGCCCGTGGGGACCACCCCTAAAGCTCTCACCCCAGCCCTGGACCCCCTGACGGGCCGCCTGCAGCCTCTCAGCCCCGTAAGTTTGAGCATTAGTGGCCGGCCTGATCTTTTTAAACTTCCTTTTCCTGTTGGGCTCTCTTTCTCCCTCTGCTTACCTCAGCCCACACTGGTGTGCTGCTGCTGCCTGGAGCACCTGCTTCCACTCTTACTCACTGCTCTCTACCGCCACCTTATGGCCAAACAGGAGCACTTCCTAGTTCCTACCCTGATAACGCCTCTCTTTTTCTAGAGGTTGGCTGTCTAAAAACTCAGTGTGCTGCCCAAATCGACAGCATTTTTGAGCATCGTGGGTCTCTTATACACCTGGTATCAATGATTTGATCATAAGTGGACTGTGCTGTTTGTGAATATCTTAAGTACACCTACGTAAATTCACAAATTACTCCAAAATTTATTAGCATTTTCATTTTTATTTCTGGTTCTTTTTTTAACGTTACTTTTCTTTTTTACATAAATATATATATATATTTTTTTATTAGCTATCAACATGCACAAATGTAATTTTGAGGGAGTATTTTTTTATTAGCTATCACCGTGCAGAAATTAAATTTTGAGGGAGCATTATTATTATTATTATTTAAATTTTTTATTCTTTGGCTTCCTCACAAACTACTCCCAAATTTTCACTAATTATGTCAATGTACAGAAACTTTATTTTGGAAGATTTAAAAAATGTATCATATATGTATTTAATTTTTTTTGTTTCTTTTTCTTGATCATAAACTACTTCCAAAATTGTTAGCATTTTTGTTTTATTTTTCATTTTCATTTTTTTTTCTTAAATTACATTTATTGACATGCAACATTATTTATTTATTTACTTTTTAGCTTCATTAACAAGCAGAAATGTTATTTTGTAAGTTTTAAATGTTTTTTTATTTTTATTATACTTTTTAAAATTCTTTAGCTTTATCACCATGCAGACTTTATTTTTTTAATGTGGTTCATATTATCACAAAATCATAGACCCTCTGAACAAAACCTGGTCACAGTCTGTCTATGGCTCACCCAGAATGCATGTTAATACCAGGTTTGCCTCTAATGCTTAAACATGTTGCGTAGCAAGGCAGCTCAATACAGTTTGAGACACAAGCTATTTAGCATAGGAAGATAGAAGTGGCATGAATTGCATTGTATCGTTCTTGAGATGGTTGATATGCCAAGAGAGGCTCTCGTTGAGAGATATGCTTGTCTTGTGCAATGTGACATGTCTGGAATGTGTAGAAAACTGATTGATGGTTGCCTGATTAGTGAAACTCAAACGAGTTGATCTGCATGGCACATATCAAACGCTTAATGATTTCTTGTAGTGTGCAGCAATTTTGTTGTGCTTCACCAGACAGCTCTGAAATGAGAAATCGTCCTCTGTTTGTGGATATTCATAGATCTTTAGGATGTATTTTAATATCTTTTGAATGCCTTGTTTTGATTTGCTTTAATTGCTTTTGCAATTATGCAAAAACGCCATTTTGATTATGCAATATCCCATTTTGGGGGTCATTGCTGACAGTGTAGTATAGACTTATTTTGTTTTATTAGTTGTGGGTAATGTATTTGGGATGCACCGTTGTGCCTGTTTTATTAACTGTGCGTGTCTATTTTTAGTGTTTTCATTAGTTTAGAGAAGTGGATGTTATTGCATTAATTCAGTTTTGCTTTTGAGCTTATTGTAGAATCTTGCTTTTCTGCAATTTTGAAAACCTCTACACTAAGTTACTTGTGTCTAACTGAATTACAGTCGTCAGTATAGCAGTTTTGCCGCAAATGTTCTTACATCTAACAGTCCTGAGCAGAAATGACTATCAAAGCTGCTTCTCTCTTTTCCATCCTCTGCCTGCTGACTGTCTGTCAGCTTTTCTCCTCCTGTTAATCTCATTCTGCTCATGTTCAGGTGCGAAAGGGCGCTCCTACGGGTCCCACCCCCTACGGAGGACCGCACCTGTCAGCCTCCACTGACGGCCGATATAATGTGAGTGCCTCTTTCCATTCATATCTACACTGATATGTGAGTTACAGACTGTGGTGTGTAACAGACTTCTGCGCATGTTTGTCTTGTCCAGCCTCCAAAAGCGGGAGAGAAATATTGGAGTGGACCTGATAGTGACTATGACAACTCTCAAACATACGACGTCTCCCTTGGGTGAGTGCAAGCTACCGTTAAAAACAAAGCACACCAGGTTCAGAGTCTTTTTCAGAGGTTTTCAGCAATTCATTTGTAATAAAAGTAATAAAAACGAAAAATAAACTTGAGTACTGTCTTAAGAAATTAAGAAAAGAAATATTGCTGTTGTAGTGCTATTGTTGTACTTTTAATATATGAATATAATAATGATTAATTTGATGAATTATTAAATTTTAACGTTGATTTACATATTGATATGTAAATTTGTGTAATCATAATATTTAAATAATATTAATTTGTATAATAATAATATTGTCATCTTAATGTTAGACTTTTTTTTACTGCGCAGGAGTAATATATTTGTCTTCTGAAAAATAAGTAATGTTATAAAAATAATATATATTTGCATATTATTAATTATTTTTTATTTCACAGTAACAAAAATAAATATTTTATTTTTATAATTATCTATAATTCATTTATTCAGTGTTTTTATTGTACTTTTAATAATCATGTTTTTTTATATTAATTAATATTTTAATTTCATTTGTATTTCATGTTAGATTCTTTTTATTGAACAGGATTTATATATATATATATATATATATATATATATATATATATATATTATAAAAACAATATTTTTATGTTATTATGAATCTTTTTTATTATTTCACAGTTAAAAAAATAAATACTTATTTTTAAAATTTATTCTAATTATTCTTTTATTGTAGTGTTTTTTTTGTACTTTTAATAAAAGTATTTTTAGTACTCTTAATAAAAAATATTCCACATACAGTACAGGATATTACAATATTAATAATACAATAGTGATATTTGTTTTCTAAAAATACCATTATCCCATATCATATACAATATAATAGTTTATTTTTAACTAATTAACTAAATAACTAATAGTTATTATAATAAATATTATTGTTATAATTTTTAATGTAAAATATAAAAAACATATTTGTCTTATTTTTTAATTATTTGTTGTAACTTTATAACTGGCAATACATTTCTTTCTTTGAGCATGGAAATTTTAGTGTTTTTAGTATGCGTGCTTGTGCTTGTGTGTTCATGTGTGTGTGTGTTATTTTTTTTATAATGTTGGGTGGTAGTGTGGGCCGCAGCAGTGAGGAGGACAGCAGGGGGGATGTGGAAGACACAGAGAGTGAGCCGGACCCCACGCTGCCCTGCACAGAGGACGTCATCCTCAAAACCGAGCAGGTCACCAAGAACATCCAGGAGCTCCTGAGAGCTGCACAGGAGTTTAAACACGACAGGTATGACGGACTGTTACCCCTCAAGCTGAATGTAAAGTCATTTTGCTACAGTTAATAGAAACATACTATTATGGAGAGTTGAAATCTCTTTGGTTGCAGTTTTGTGCCGTGCTCAGAGAAAATCCACTTAGCTGTGACAGAAATGGCCTCGCTGTTTCCCAAGGTAAATAAATGCGTCATATTGTAATACTTCGCCTCAGGAAATCCAGCCAGACGTACTAAATCTCTCTGCTCTGTCTGCTTCTCTCAGAGGCCAGTGCTAGATGCAGTACGTTCTTCCTTGAAGCTCCTGGCGGCCAGTGCGTCCCGCCTGCAGGTGGAGTGTCGTAAAGCGGCACCCTCCGACTCGTCGGCCAGTACAGTGGACTACCAGCTCCTCACCCAGCAGGTCATCCAGTGCGCCTACGACATCGCCAAAGCTGCCAAGCAGCTGGTCACCATCACCACCCGAGAGAAAAAACAGTGACCCTCCGGCACACCGGGGTCCACTGGGCAGGGGCAGAGACTGAGAAACCGGAGAAAAGAGTAAAAACTGACGACTGGGAATCGTTGGTCAGCTAGATGAAGATGGGAAAAGAATCAAGCTGCGGCCTACCGGACGCAGAGATGTTTGGGAGAAGCCGAATGGAGAGGCCTGCTTTTCCTTACACTCCTTTTCTTCTCTCATTTCAGTATTTCTGGAGGATCTTCTTTCATTTACACATCTAAATATAACAACACTACAGAGGCAGACCCACAATTCAGTGCTGATGGTCTGCTAGCGCATGGGTGGCTACTTGTTGGTTTTCTTTGTGAAACACACAAGCACTCCTAACCATCAGAGAACCAGAAACCTTCCTCCTAAATCGTTTATTTTCAATTTTTCCTTTCTCTCTCTGTCTTTCGATTGATTTTGTGTTTTTAAGTGCCGCTCCATTGGCCTGTTTCTCTTGGGACAAATGTACTGACTTTAAACAACAACACTGGAGTTATTTTAATGATTATGACTTAAGTTTTGTATTATTGTTACAATTATTGACGTCGTCTTTTGATTTTTGTTTCATTTAGTTTTGGTGGAAATCACAGCTTTGCGAACATTAACAGGGGTGAACCATAACCTGTAAAAACTAACCAGAATACTCCCGTCCTCCAGTGGTAGAAGCACTGGTTCACTCACACAGTGTTTTACTATGTATACTACATTTTTTTTTTGTCGAAGTGCATCGAACACTAGCCAAAGGAGCAGAGGGGAGTGATGACACTACAGTTACGGATCCCTCTTTTTTCCGTCTTCGAGCACAAAGACAGCAGTCGGGGTTGGTGTACAGAAAATGTTCATCTCATCTCAATCCCTCCGTTAGTGGGTTTTGGTATCAGAACAATGCAAATGTGCACAATCATCACATTGTCTTTAGCTTATTAGGTTAGGACAAAACCATCACTTTAGGACTACATGTTCACTTTCTGCACATAATCGAATGGCCTTTTTTTTTTTTTTTGTCAGTTTGGTGGAGTTTTCACTTCAGGACCAGGTGTTTTTTTTGTTTTCCTTTTGAGAATATTGGATTTCTTTGTTGTTTATAATTCATGTTTTTTTTAATTGAGTATATGTGTAGTTAATGGTTATTAATGTAAGAAGATCCTTATGTTTTATAAGCTACGAGCCTGTGAATGTTGATGGTTGAAGATGACCACTATCAATGTTCTCATCACTAACATTTCACATACAGTCACAGGGAAAACGCGTCATGTCATGGTGAGGATGTCCATCTGCTGCATCAGGACCAGTGAAGTCACATTCCGTCGAGGTGGTCTGTGTCACTTGTTGAGAATTGTGGGAAACCAGTCCCTCGCTATGTTGATGTTCATGGCTGAGTTGAACGGGAGCTTCCAGTACATACGCACATGAAGATGAACATCTGTGTGTGTGTGAGTGTGATCAAACCAAGTATTTGTTGTACAGTTACTTTGCATTTTAGACGCCTTAAACGTCCTGTTGTTTTCCATATCGGTTTTACCCACCAGCCTTTTAAGTTAAGCCATTTTTTCATTCTTGCCTTTTGTTTCTTTAACTTGGGGAATGGGATAATGCTAGCGTCCCCTGATAACGTGTCAAAACAGATTGTCTGAAAATCTCTTGATCATTGCCTTTGCACATCTGCTAGACTGACTTTAATCAGTAATCATGTGACTGGCGTCTTGCTCTTCCACACTATAGAAGCACATGGTGAGTAAAACAGTGAATGCTTAATTTTTCCCCAGATTCTTCATTTTACACTAAATATGTCAGGATGGTTTACTGTGGTGATGACTTGGGAGAAAGAGTTTGGGCCATTAGTTAATAAAGCACTAAATTCAGAGAGCATTCTGAGAAAGGATGTCATTGCACACTCACTATATGTCCAACTCTAAATCTGATTCATTTCAGAGTAGTCTAGATTTTTCCCAGCCGTCTTGCTGCAGATGCATACATTGCTCACATAATGCACCGGTGAAATTATTTTGAAATAGATTAATGCACAAACACACTTCCGTGATCAGTCATACTGGCTGCACTATTCTTATGACTGTTCTTTATCACGTGGTTCTTACATGAGAGATTAACTGATGGGAGAAAATTGTTTAGCAGAGGCTACCTGTACAATATAGAAATGAAATAGACTAAGCAAAATCATTTAAAGCGTCATAAAGACTCATAAGCTGTACATTTGTAATAAAAGAAAAAGTTCCTTGTCTTCTGTGAGGAGTTCTTTGTTTGGCATTTTAATTGTGGCGATGATGGTATTTTACAGGGTGTTTACCAAATTAATTGCATGTACAGAAATGAAATGCAGAAAAACACAAATAGAGAACAAGATTCAAAAGACAAACAGGTGTTACGCAAAAAAAAAAGCCTCAGTTTATGGCTGTGGTTTAGTTCAGCGTTTACGGAAAGGATCATTCTGGACCAATTGACAAATATCTAAGTACCAAGGTTGACAAGGCCGCGGGAACTGGGTTGAACATTATTGTATTGAAATATTTTACTCTGACCCGTTCACATTCTACCAGTAAAACAGTGTAAGACGACTTATAGGAAGCCTGGTTTGTTTTCAAATAGTTCAGAAAGTTACCACTTAAAGAATTTTGTTAACCACCTGTAAGTCTTAAAGATGAATCAGACTGTGCTTACGTTCACAAAGAACTTTCATTATACGTTCACCGTTCCTTATCCAACTAGTATTGGGTAGGCAACTAGATTACATTTGAATTACTTGCAGACTTCTAAGTACACATCGCTGGTGGAGTTTATTTGCGTTGACTCGTTTAGACTGCTGGAAGCTGGACATAAATACACAATAACCCCTAAGTAAACCCCAAAATCTGTTTACCAAAAACCTATCCGTGTGAGAAAAAAAAAAAATGCAACGACTTTATTTACTAAATGAGTTCTCAATATCTCTGCACACAACAAAGACCACTGAATGAATACACACTAAAGACATTAATATAAATTATTTTAAATTTCATTATCAGGTCATGAGGCATAATTATGAAACGAGTAATACACTGTATCCGAGCCCAATAAACACAGAGTCCTAAGGAGAAAGTGGAACAGAACAGCAGAATACCATTTAAATGTCTGAATACAGTTCATAATTAAACCTTGTATGACAGAGGCACAATGCATAGCCCAAAACATGTGCTAATACATCTATAACCCAACATGACATTTATATTTAATGCCCTAGATCCTGTGTGGAAATTCAGCTGAACTAAACCAAGTTTGTTACGTCATGACTGTAAACCTGGCATTACCAAATGAGTAGAATTTAGTCCTTTCAGATCTACTAAAAGTCCTGAGAAAAGTGGCTTATGAGTAACAATGGGTCAGCTGCAACCCGCTAATACCATAAACTCGTGGTGATTTGTCATGAGGCAGCTTCATCTTGTACAAATAGAAAATAACACCTGCAGCAAATACATCAAGGGAGGAAACGTTTGTTAGAGAAACATGTTAACATGCTGGTGATACAGGTAGTGAGGGGTTATTTGAACAAGTGCTGATGTCGGTCAAATTTGCAAAAAAAAAAAAACAGGTTGATAAACATATTTATGAAACACTTTCAAAATAAAAGTTAGAAACAAGGGTTGAAAAAACATGTTGCTATTTATTAGTGTAAGAAACACCTCTGGATGGGATGTCCTGGGTGCAGATGTGAAGAAAAGAGAAAAACTACTGGAGTGAAGAGAGAGAGCAGCCCATCATACTGCAGCAGAGACATCTTCCAATACAACATCTGAAAATACAAATATGAAAAAAAATTAAAATTAAATAACAAAAATAAAGAAAGAAGATAATATAAAGAAAAACATATAAAGAAAATAATAATTAAAATAAAGTTTATATATAATAATTAAATTAACTGCTTAGCTGTTATTTTAAACAAAGCATCAGTTGAGCTGTACTCACAGTATCAGCTGCAGCACCTCATTCATCTGCGGCAGACATCCCTTTCACTGGATCCTTCTCTCGCATCTGTAGTAGAAAAAAGACCATTTCAGACTTGTCAATATTGGATTATTAATATTGGAATAATTATGCATGCTCATTTTACTTTCACTACTGTATTAATAACTTAAAACTGTTAAATGTAATCTTTAGCCAAATTCAAAATTAATATTTTTCAATACACAATACCGCTTAAATTCTTACACTTAAAGTTAAGTGTTTGAATTTATTTAGGCACAAACCGTATAAATTCCAATATCTTCTATTGATGAATTATTCACAACATTAAAATAATTATCATCTTATCGGTATCAGACAAAACATTAATATTGGTGAATCCTTAAAGCTGCAGTCCGTAATTTTTGGCGCTCTAGCGGTTAATAAACAGAACTGCGTGCGTATTGCAGCAGAACATTGTAGCCGGAGATACTTCTCTCTGTTTATGTCAATGAAGAATCACGCAGGCTACTCCGCAGCGGTACCTACCCGACTAAAATAAAATAGTCAGAATATAACACTTATTATTATTGTACCGTAGTGATTCAGGACAAGCCAAAAACAAGGTTTGGAAAATGGATTCATGGTGTAATCGTTTATTATATACATTTTGAACAAAAAAAGTTACAGACTGCAGCTAAATACGGATGAAATGTTGAATAGCATCATTAACAAGGATCTTCAGTGATCTTCATTTTCTATTAATATAGTAATAATTAATTTTAATACTTCAACGTTTATTTCAGTTAGTTGCCAAGGCAAAAAGTTTTAAGTTTTTTCATAGAATATTTATATTTTATTTCAGCTTTATTTCAATTAACAACACTGCAAAAAACGCTTTCAGAAAAGAAAAAAAAACAAGTCAAAATTAAGTGAGTTTTTGCTTGAAACAAGCAAAATAATCTTGTTTTCTGTTTGAAATAAGATTATTTTGCTTACCCCATTGGCAGATTATTTTGCTTTTTCTAAGCAAAAACTCAATTTTGACTTGTTTTTTCTGAAAACAAGACAAAAATGTTTACTTGTCTAGAAAATCCTTCTTGATTTAAAAATGTTTCGATATCTGGGCTGGAAACAAAAAAAGTTTATATTAGTTTTAGTTCCCAATAAGCCTGTACTGCATCTTATTTTAAAACCTGTGAGCATTATAGATCATTTTGGTAAACTGTGTTCTTCACCGTGTTCAAGGAGTTTAAAAACGTTGCTGAACTCACATTATCGAGTTCTTTCTGTGTCTCCTCCTCCATGCGGCGGATGTCCTCCATGGTCAGATGGATCCATCGGTCTAACCAGCAGAAGAGCTGCCTGTGGAAGCTGGTGAACAGACGCTTCTCTTGCTGAAGTAAAACCAAACAAACAATGTTTCATGAGTCACCACATTAAAATCAGACTATTAAACACACAAACTCTCTAATAAACTGAACAAACACTAACTGTTTATTTTTCTAAACCACACCTCTATGATGTTAGAACGGACATTCTGTTGATATAAAAGTGAGTCACACTGAACACAGCATGAGGTATTTTACAGATTTATACCTTGTGAATGAAATTCTCCACTTTATTCTGCAGGCCAAACCACTTGAACTTGACAGTGACTAGTTTATAGGCACACATATGAGGGCAGTCCTTCTTCTGAGGAAGTTCTTTCTGCAATACACAGGAACAAAGCGATCAAAAACATGACTGGAGATATTTATCCAAAAACGATTCATGAAACCATACACACCTTCCAGTCAGGTCCTAATGGCCCTCTACCAGTCTTCTGTGATTTAAATGTGGCTGGATCCTCGTCTGGTTTGTAGTCCTGTGAAGAAGATGAAAATGTCAGCATGTCTCAAAGTCTGATCATACATCTAAAGTAAAACCTCAGTTTTCCTTACCTTAGTGTCCACCTGAGACCTGTCAGCAATGTCAATGTGCACCACCTCAACCTTCTTCCACTGTTCGGGGTCAAGCTTATGGACCTTCAAAACAAACAAGAAAAATGGTTAGTGTACAAGATCAAGATTCTCACAGCTTCTTGCAATTCAATATTGATTTTTTTGCATACTGTGGTGCTGCGTAATTAAATTATGCTGTGCATCTATCTGCATAACAATGGCTGTCTACTCACATTGTCCTGTTCACCGAGGTCAGGCTTGTGCCATGTCTCAATCATAACTAGAAAATTGTCCTTCATGTATTCATTCTATAAATACACACACAACACACATTTGATACACAGACAAAATCTGGGGTCTCTTTAAATTTTTTATTTAATTAGTTAAATTGATCAAAAGTCACAGTAAATACATTTATAATGTTACAAAGGATTTCTATTTTAAATTAATGCTATTTTTTTAATGTTCTCTCCATCAAAGAACTCGTTTCCACAAAAATAAGCAGCACACATGTATTTTGAACACTGATTTAACACTGCAGCCTTGGACTTCCAAAAATTTCAACTTATGAAAGGCATTGTATATATATATATAAGACTAAAACCTGATATAGAAGAATAAAATGCTGATTATTCATATTATTATTAATAGTAATATAAATATACGTTTTAATTACACACAGGTGTCTCATAAACTCACCGTAAGAACTGGAGTGATGAATGATGTAGTGAGCACATGAAAAATAGGAAAAACACAGCAGTGAATTTCATCATTCCTATGAGCTCTGTGTTTAATAGACCAGTCATGTATGAATGTACAGTTGCTGTAATATATTCAGTAAAGCTGTGCTGTTGTGGCTGGTACCTGTGCGACAGTAAGGATAAGCATTCCAGGCCTTCTCATGGATACTCAGGGCAGATGAAGGGGCCAGTAATCGTACAAAAGTTGGCACTTTACTGCATAAGACAGAGAGATATAGACATATCTGTCAGATACAGACTATGTTTCAAGACAGCACATGAGATGGCCCTTACAAAAAATTATAATACCATGGTCCTACGACTGCAGTACTGAATAATTAATAATTAATGATTATTATTACCTCTGCAAGTGGTAGATCTTGTGTGTGTACTGTCCTTTCTCTCCATTCTCTTTCTCGTAGGGCTCGTTTTGCAGGACTTCCACCCCTTCTCCACCACCCGTCTCATTCTTACTGGCCTCTGCTACCGAGTACAGCTGACCCACCTGGTACTGCGGATGAGAGAATAATGTTAACTTCACTTGGTCATATGGAAATGACAGTATAACACCTCTAAATGAAAAACAAAAACACACTGAAAATGAATGCATTCTGCCAAGTGCATTTGCATGTCATAGCTGCGTACAGTGCTGAGTACAACAAATAGCCATATACAGGCTGGTGTGCCATAAACAAACTGACAAAATTATAGAGGAAGAGTTCAAAACCTATAATCGGATGATAGAAAAGAGGGAAACTGGCATCTAATGCTTCTAGGAAATGTACGTGCATCTCTAGTTCTCCAACTCTGCCCAACACTATAAACAGCAGGAGTAGAAAAATATTTTAGAAACAAATTTGAAACATTTGATTAAAATTCTCACCGTGAAAATAAACCGATAATTTTAAGTAATGTTATGACGTAAAACCGTTAATGTTAAAAATCCATAAAATTTTTACATAAATAAAACACTAAACAATACATTTTAAATACTACATATTAATTTAGACCTTCAAATTATAATGTACAGTACAAAAAACTGAAAAGTTCTGTCTATAGTCGATAATTATTTTTACATAATGACTAATAATTGATAAATGGCAAATGTAAACATTTATAGGCTACTATTTGTGTCTAAATAGATTAAAACAACAATCGTTAATGTTACAAGCGAATTGAGGCATCACAACATTATAATGCACAGTATAAAAAAAAAGGATATTAATTTTGAGATTTGTTAAAGATTTAACGGTGTTATAAAATGTATAGCTTTTTAAGTTTAACTTTAAGTGAGAGTTAGATGATAGCATTGGTAAGCTAAACAGAAAAATTGAAAAAACAAACATGCACAATTAAATATCTAACATCGGTTATACCGATTAAAAGAAACTCAAATATCGGCGAATAGCTGATATTAAGCTACTGAAATACTGTGCAGTGCATTTTTCGTAATTATACTTATTATCATTAAACCAGAGTACATTACTGACTCTCATACAGAAATGAGTGATGCAGACTGCACCTCTGACCACATCTACACTCGGTATATCTACAAAACCAGCTTCCAGAATGTAACATCCTTTAGGTGCTTCCCGTTTCAGCTGGTTGGGTCTCAATTCTCTGTCAGTCAGTATTATATGGTCTTTTGCGCAGGTGAACAGAAAGGAATGCAACTACACGTCAAACCTTTACTGCCGTTTAGACAAGAACATTTGACTTCTTCAAAAATGATTTCTTATTCAAACACAACAGATACAGAACAAGACATCCAAATATTCAGGGTAAAAACACACCAGACTACATCAACAAATACTACAACAGGGAGGGCAAGAAATGACAGGGACAAAACAAATTCAACCTTTGCTTAGTAAGCTGGAGTAAAGATGGTACATTGATCAAGTCTGATAAGCAATTAATTACAGTCTGTCCTTGTCTGCTATATACAGGCCTGCAGTTAACTAGGCCACTTTCCCACAAACCTCAGACTATTGGTTTCAATTAATCATTTCAATGTCTAAACTGTCCGGCCCAACAGAAGAAACTGGGCGGAGTCTGGAAAACCAGTAATGGAAGAATTATGCCAACAATACATCCATGAGCTTCAAGATGGACTTTTCAAATTATGACTAGACTAAAATGGATTTTTTAAAAATAAATATAACCCATAAAGAAACACCTGTAAAAAGCACTTACCTCTTCAACAGAAATGGGCAGGACGATTCGACTGAAAAACAAAAGAGAAAGGCCACTGAGTCAGCAAAAATAACATGAGGCAACCTTTGAACTCTTTTCATTCATTCAATCACATTTAATTCCTTGACAACTTGGTATCCTCTAGGAATGCCAACAAGCCCTGTTTTCACCGTCTGAAGACAATTGCACTAATAATCTTAATCTTATAAATACCAGAGCACTTTAGTTTTTAAAAACTGGTGTTGCTTTATTCAGTAACCTGACCTTTGCGATCATGAAACAGCAATGTTCTGATAATATTGTTTCATAATGAGTTTACTCTATTGAGTGGTCTCAAATTTGAACAAGATACTAATATATATATATAGGTAAAATATCTGGTCACAAACCAAAGCTAACAAAAAGGTAGATTTCTGCATACTGAAAATAATTAAATCTGCAGAAAATGTTATTACAACCAAACGCCACAAAATGAAAAGTTAACCAAAAAAGTGAACAAAAGCATACTAATCTTTTAAAACCAGGATTATTTCTCACAATGTAACCCCTCCTGGGTTTTTTTTTTTTAAATCCCCTGATAATTCTCAGGTTTTCCATGACGCTGGAAATCTTGTCGAATTAAAAAGTTCTTTATCACCATATTCAGTTAACATCGAGTATTATTAAAAAGCCATTATGGCAGTACTTACATCATAACGTCAACATAGCGACGTCTAATGTAATATTTTACAGCTCATTTAGCTCAGGTAGAATTCAGCTTGCTTGTTATATGAACATTAATGTCATAATAGGACTTTTTCTTTAATCTCTTAATATGTATACTGCAGCACAGGAGTCTGAGCGCGCGCTGACGTACACAACCGTGCATGGCGTGACCGGCGAAACGGTAACATGTGACAATCACATTCATACTAACGTTACCTGCAGTTAGTAACTTCAGCAGTTCTGTAACTTCAAAACGAGGTTACATCCTTTTCTTTCACTTTGTAAAGCAAATAAACTGATGACTCGTTATAACTGCTGGTGTGGATTGCCTGGAATATAAATAATATAATCCGAAACAGGACTGTAGATTAAATTTGAGACTATTTGACATAACCTAGTTAGCACAGCGAAAAAAACATCCATAATTCATTAGTCAAAAATCAACATAAATCCACTTTATTAAGCAGCAGCCGGTGAAAGTGAGCAAACACGCGCCCGTGAGTCAAGTTCAGCGCGGCATCAAAACTTCAGCGCAGTGAAATCATACTAAAATACTTACAATTCCTTTATCAGCATGTTATCTCCTTCTGCTCCGCGTGCCCAACATTCAAACGAACTTAAAGAGCGTTTATTCTTCGACTCTTCGGTCCAACCCGCCGTGACTCGTTTCAGTTCAAGTTCCTGGATTTCTCATTTCTTTAAATTCATTTCCTGAAAGATGTCGCCAGGAGCGCCGCGTCGTCACGGCAACCACACCCACAAGCATGAAAACCGGAGCAGGAGCGAATCTGATTGGTCAAGAGCCGCACATAGAACCTTGCGCCACACCCTGGCCAGATATTTAAGACGCTCACACCGCACAGGTTTACAGAGATGAGTGAGCGTCCACATGGATGTCAGGTAGATGTTCTTGTTCCGCTGGTTTTAAATTTAGGATAAGACTACAGCAGGAGGGATTTGGGTGTGAATGTGTTTTCGTATTTAAATCTAAACATGTCCTGTCCTAGACCTGACTTTCCAGTCAGTATGACGACCACAGATAACTAGTCTTTCTCCATTCCATGTACATTTATGCTCAGCACGTGTGTATCTCTGTAGTTCTACTCATCTTCTGGATTAGTCAGATTAGTTCTGTATTAGTGGATCAAATATTAATTCGCAATTTATAAACAGAAATCGTATTAGTTTGCAGCCTGTTCAGTTACTGAAACTGAATATTTCTGGGAGCGTCTTTAGTTGTTTCTCTCTCTCTCTCTCTCTCTCTC